AGGCTGTACCAAATTTCAGCAGGTACTGTCAAATACTTCACTCCTCTAAAAAGCCACTATATACAAATCCACACTGTTGTTACCTTTTGTGCAAAAGTATACTGCACAATATTGCACTACTGTGCAATGTGAACCTCTTTTGAAACTCAGGATTATAAGGATGCACAGTACCCCATGGTAGAAAGACTGACAGTGTGTGTTTGATTGCCCTTTGCCTCCAAGCAGCCCTGGGAGGTGTGACTGGGAAAGTGCCATGGGCAGGTATGTCAAAAGCTCAATTACCAACAGCTCAGGGACTCAGCTCTCCAGTTTTCATTCAGCTGCCTGACTTCAGGCACCCTTCCTGAAAAGGACACAGGCCAGTTCTTGTCCCTGGACATAGGGTATCCTAAGTAAAAGGCTGCTTCACTGCCCACAAAACTCACAATTTATGGATCACTTAGAAACCACAGAAAATCCTCTTGAGATAAACTGTACTCAACCTGAAAGTCAATGCAAAATCCACATAATCAGGAAAGCTTTCCACTATCTTCTTGCTTGAATCAAGCAACACTTTTAAGCTTTTCTGTCCTGAACAATATGAGAATGTAGCAAACTTCAAAGCAAGAGTGATTGAACAGCCATGGGCCTTAAGTCACAATCTCCACCATTATATTCATAATCCACTTTATAAAGGGCTCACAAATGGCTACTGAAATCTTTAAGTATGTCAGATTTTATGACAGAACTATGGCAAACAACCCCGTTACCTTCTACTTAAAATCACACATGCCTACAACACGTGACTTAAAGAACTATTAACATAACATCAGCAGGTTTTATATTTAACCATTCCTTAATTACAGCATGGAGTTTCTGATAAGAAGTGTAACCAGCTTATCTTGTAAGTGAACGCTTTCTATTAATTATTCAGCTACTTCTGAGAACATTATGTCTATAAGAAATCCTAGTGGTATGAAAACCTTAATGCAAGTGTGATCCTGGTTAGCAGTTCACTATTAACACCACCACATTTACTGAAAACACAGTGAAGAAACACTAAGAAAATGCTGTAAAATGATGCTCCAGAAGTTCATGCACTGGCATGAAAGAATGGGCTATTGAAGCAACTGTGGCACTGTGAAGAAATAATGATTTTTATGAGTATTCCTAAAATAACCTTCCAAAGTGCCTCTTGGAAACACTCCTTGTGCTCATGAGTTCACATCCAGAAGCTTGATGAAAGTGCCATATTTCATTTAACCATTTCGTATCCAACAGGTGAAACACATGGATTTAAACAAAAATAAGTTTAAACAAAAATAAGGGATGGAGCATTACACAAACACAAGGATCTTTTCACGCTGAAGGTATTCAGTTTGACTGGAGTTTCATTTTTAATATGACCCTTAAAACAGAAAAGCTATTGAAAAGATGCATTTGAAAACAATGTTTTGTCTAAGAAGCATCAGCCATTGCTAGAAGTCTGAAGAAGAATGATAAAGAAAAAAGCCCGTATCTGCTAGATCACTTAAACAGGTGAAACATTTGAGTTTTACATGCTGCAAGAGGTTAGAAGTCACTGCTTTAGAACAGCAGTAAATGAGATGTACAGTCTTCCACCATCTGTTAATCAAGAACTTGTTCAGTCTCCAGTGTCTGAGGTCTTAGACTCCCGAGTTTAACATCTTATTTAGCACAGGGACCCAATCTGTGTAACATGATCCTAAGTCTCCACTACCTCAAGCCTTCTCCTGGCCCTCTCACTCCTTACCTCAGCAAGTCTTGAAGAAATCATTGAGCAATTTGCAGGGATTGGAAGTGAACAACACTGATGACTGCTCTGTGTGTATATTAACTGTGCCAGGACTCATTTCATAAGAATGAGAAGTTTGTCATTTTCAGTTGTGCAGAGTGTTTTGTGCCAGATGACTTCTGCCTTCCTCCCCGGAGACCGCTACTGAGCCAGCTCCGAACAGATGCAGCTCTACAGACCACCTTCTTCTGGAAGCACCAGATAGTCAAAAAACTTTTATGGCCTCCAAACAATTCATTTCTCTCTTTAAAACAAATTGGACCAAAAAAAGCCCTATCTTCACTAGAAAGCAGCTTCCAGCTCTTTTGTTCTGCTCAGCATGTGAACCCAGGAGAACCTGCCTCACAGCTGCAGAAGTGGGAGCTCTTCCCTCCAGGTTTTAGCAGAGAAGATGCTGTGGTACAGTGGCATCAGGCACAACAAGGATATTCCATCACCACTCCCAAGGTGTTTCCCTAACAGGAGGCTGAAGAAAAGCAGGGACAAGACATTTTTTTCCACAGGCCAACTCATGCTTTCCTTGCTGAAAAAAGTTAGGACAATTAATGTGAAGAGAAATTAGAACAGGGGACACAAGACATGGGGAAGAGTTGACCCTGTGCCTTCTCTTATTAAACAAAACCCTTGCTTTGCGTGCAATCCATAGAATATTCAACTTTACATACTCTGGAATTGGCTTGAAGCCTAACAAAACTGGAACCACCCCATCCTTATTGGCTTTATATAGATAGGTACAGAAATATACAAAGTTGAGATGATTCATGCTCTCTGGAATGAAGGGCAGCAGCACAGCTTTGCTTGAGCAGAGATATTCATGGGAGCGGGAAAAACAGAGCGAGCACTCTGACTGCTGGGAAAAGCTGCTGAAGGTTGTTCTTGGTAGCTTGTTGAAGAGGAAGAACATTACTGAAAAAGGGGGTAGGGCAGCCCAGAGAAGAGACTGGAAGGTGCCTGGGCCAAACAAAATCTTTTGAACTGCTAGTCAACAAAAACAAATCTTGTGAAATAAAGCAGCCTAAAATCGAAATATGTAGCTAGCAATTTTAGCAATTCTCAGAGCCTCTCAGCATATGGCACAAAAAAAAGGACAAGGGAAAGATGAGGTACAGTATAAAATTTAAATAACTACTCAATATACATAAAAATATAAGTATTATGCTTTCTAAAAGGCAAGAAATACTCTCCACATATAGGCTATGCACTCTAAATGAAATGGAAGTTCAAAATATCTTTAGCAATATTGATAGATTCTACATTTTTCTTAAATACACAAGAGATATTTCAGTGCTTTAATCAAAACATTACTCCAAGAATGCACAAATAAACACCCAAGTATTCTAAAAGTATCTGGAAAGCATTCTGAAATTTTTAATAATCACCTCAGGATGTCGCAGTTCCTAAGGAAAACTTAGATTATTTTCCAGAAGTTTGATTATGGAAAGAAACTGCTGATATGAAACTAGAGAACAACTGTAGATTTAAGGGCGCTGATGTAATTTTTCCACAGAAAGCAGCTGAACTCTGTAGAGAGAAAGCAGTGTCAGGTTAGAACATTATGCTGCTTCATGGACCCAAACCCCATTGCAGCATGTTTTTACACTACACTAATGAGATGGTGACTCTCACTGCACAGCTGTACAGATGTCGAGCCTTCAGAAGCCAGGATAACCATGTGTCAAACTTCTGTGGTTTTGCCACTTGGTATTTTGGGTGTAAGCCTTCATTTGTGATAATAAATATCAGGCCACAAACTAATGTCTCCTCAGATATCTAATATGTTTAATACTCAAAACAGCTTGAAAATCTAAACATTTCTGCTGTTAGCTTTGAGTTTTCCTGGAAGAATTATGCTACAATATATACCAGATGAATAGGCTATGGATAAGACAATGACTGCCAGTTGTTGGGATGGGTTTCTCTGCCATTTTGTACCCATATTTTTTTATCCTGCAGTACACACAAAGTTCAAGCAATGCCTTTGTTAGGAAAATCTAAATCCTACTGCACATTTCCATGCTGAAGACTGAAAATTTCAAAGTTGTTCCTAATCATATCTTTCCTATAAGCAGGTACAAAGAAAGGTTTGTCTGTAAGGCATCTATAGAAATGGACAGAACAGTACCATGTATTTTAAGTATCAATTCACAGGCCCCAAGGATTTTTCTTTACATAGCAAATAGGGAAATGTGATAGCAAAGTTAAACAAATGACACAGCATCAGACAGTCAGTCTGGAACAGCAAAGGCAGCAGAATTCAAGTCCAGCCACTCATTTAGAACACCCTTACCACCACACAATTCCTTCTGTATGCATATGCTTACATAAAATATATTCTTATTATGTGTGTTAGCTTCTGCACCTCTACAACCAACAGCTACTGAGGAGAAATTGCTGTCGCTTAAAAAAAGGTAACTGTGTTACCCTGACAGATGATTTCCAAATTTGTTACTATTATGGCCCACACATAAGAGGAAGGGCGTTGGTTTGACCAGTTGCAGACCTGAGGAATTAGCATTAGAGCTGACTAAACCCCACAGCATGAATCTCAGAGCTCCAGCTCTTCAGTGAAAAAGACCAGAATGCCACAACTGCAAATGAAGCAACACTGAACACAATTTTCTGTGGTATTGCTAGAAAAGCTCTCCCTCCCCAATGAAACCAATGGCAATGACTGTCTTTTCCTCTCCTACCAGACTCATATATATATATATATACCTACACACACATACATACATAATATATATATTCATACATATATAAATACTAAACCCCATCAGTAGGGTCAAGTCTCTCTTTTTACAATTCTGTTTCCAGAGTTGTCTCCAATCGAACTATGCTCCAAGACCAGAACTATCACATTAATGGTTACTTTCCTTTATTATCTACAGAACCTTTTCTGGCCAAAGTAGTAAAGACTCTATAGGAGTCCGATAACTTTACAAGGTGACGGCATTTCTGTGTTTATTGTAAGCCATTTCTATTGCAAATTGCAACAACTTCTCAAAGTACAGCAGTGATTTGGAAATGCAGGCACACTAATACATCAATTGCCATGACTAATGTATAAACTTTTAATGACCTTGGCAAAATCTATCTTTCATTGGGCAAGTGCCACTATTTTGACTGTACAAAATGTTTTGGAAATATGTTGAAAATTATACTTGTTTTGGAAAATATTTCAGGATTTCAGTATAGCAAATGGAGTTATATTAAATAAAAGTTTGACATGGAGGAGAAAACACTCCAAGGTTGTGTAAGTCTTTTTTTTTTCCTTTTAAAAGAGGCATCCTCCAAGTGTTGTACATTCATAGAATGCTGGCTTTTTATCCAAACAGACTTAAGAAGATAAAAAAATTGTCTTGAATGGTTTTCAGTTTCATTCAGTCACTGTCATCTTCTTGTTTCAGAGCACCTCCTTCTTCACTGTTGCCTTCTCCATCACTTTCCTTGTCCCAGTCCTTCATAGATGCTCCCATCATGAAGTCATCACGGAGGATATTCCATTCTGGCCCCTCTTCGGATTTCACTTCACCCTGAATGTTTGAGGGGACGAGAAGAAAGAACAGAGGAACATGAGATAAAGGTGAAAGGCAGTAAAAGATGCAAGGTCTCCATGAAATCAAAGTAACACCTCCTACAATCAGCGGACTGAGGGCCAGCTGTTTGTGCAAATGGTACAGAAACATGCAGAACAAACAAAAATTATTTGATGCTAAAATGCAAACTTGTTTTAACCAACCAGTAAAAGAAATATGGAAACAAAACAATTATTCTTCATGGATGAAATAGTCAACCCTGGGCATGGCTTCCTTTATTAAAATCTTTCTTGGCAATCAGAACGGATTCGTGATATCATTTATTAACCCCCAGATGCTGCTTCATTAGAACACTTCTTGGCACATTTCTAAAACACAAATATGGATTTAATAAAGGCTTAACCCCCCCCAAATTTAATATTTAACATATTTGCTGATACGTGAACCAAATCCCCTTTATGTGAATTATTACCTCACTACCTGGGCTTGTCATATGGTACATAAGTTGCCTCTAACAGAAACAAAGTTGATCCACTCTTAGCAAGCCAACAACACCTTACTCCAAATTTCCTACCTCTTGGAAGTGGAAGAGGCCCACTACACGGACTAGCAAGCAATAAAGAAAAGGGTCGGGAGTGTAGTTTCAGGTTAGCACTGAAAACAGCGCTCGGTCGCAGTTCCCGGAGGTGACACATCACATTTGGGCAGTGCAACAGCCCCATCCTGTGGCAACACTTTCCAACAACAGCTGGAAGCTATGCTTACATCCTTTACAGGACGAAAACACCGAAAGCTGCTCGATGTACTGAGGAAAGATTTATTTCAGCTTTTATGCCTTAGCATCAAAGCACTTTTGGGGAACAACATGGCTCAGGATCCATCATGCAAGCAAAAAAGTCGTCCTACCACGGGAGAATTAGGGGCAGTGAAAACACTCATTTAGTTCTGCAGGGTCTTAGAAAGTAAAGTTAACATTGGTATGCCAGGTAGGCTTTCCCCACTCCCCTGCTCCAAAGAAGGGACCTCAGCGTCCTCTGTGGACAAGATTTGCCTAGTGGATGCAAAACCTGCATTAAATGTATGATCACCATACACATCTGTCCATGCCTCTTCTCTGTCATGCATCTAGGAATGTGATACCACTGCATATTTAAGCTGAAGCCTGTGGGAATCAATATTTGGAATAGAGCAGCATATAGAATTTGATAGCAGAAGAAAAGAGAAATGAAGAATGCTGTATGTTACTGTAAATAAAACACATCCTATCACACCATCAGAAGTTATCTGAGTCCAAAAAGTCTGCCAAACAAGGTATGTGTTTTTAATAGGTAATCAAAGCAGAAATGCTACATGTGATTTCTGCAGTTCTTTATGAAACACTGTCCTCACAAGAATAGGATAACAAGTCTTAACACTTTCCTTCCCAAAAGGAAAATTTCCCAGGGCCCAGCTCAAAAACAGAAACTCTACAGCTGTTCCTCAAGATGTTTGCACTGAGTTTCTTTTTAGGGTTTGCTTTTGTGCCTTCACAGATGCTCTCATTAATGGCTACTCCCATCCAACAATTCCCTTTTTCCCAAGGGTAGTGCCTCCTAACCACTTTCCACTCTTGCAACAATTTGCTTCAAGTGCAACACCCAGTAAACCTAAAATCATCACAGAAAGGGCAATCGTTTACCTGGAATTAAAGAGCTACAGATAAGGTTCCTAGGCAGACCTTAAACTTTTCACATGGGAATCATCTGTATTGTTACAATAGTGCAAACATGGGTAGGCTGTTTTGGGATGCAAGGAGAGGGTAACTATTGTTTTCCTCCTTTTTAACTGCATTGCAGTTGTACATGTTTGCTTTTGCAGAGTGGAGAATAGTTTAAAAAACGAACAAAAAACCCCCCCCAAAAATCACCAAATTATTTATTTTTTAATCCCAGATCTTTTGATAAGTCACTATTTGAACAGTGAAATTTGAGAGTTGAATCTGAAATGTTTAAATGGAAACATCCAATATTTCTTACAAAGTTGCAGGCTCAGGGTTTGAAAAGCTCAATCCTCAAATTCATCACAAGCTACTATTCAGCAACCATTAGCCCTTCTTTCTGGCTATGTCAAGTGAACAACAGGACAAAAGCAGGACTTTAACAAAAGAGGGATGCTGATCCTCCATAGCATTACCCATTATGTAAGGCACCACAAAGGCCTGAATAGAGTTTTACAACAAGCCCAAAGGAGAACGACAGAAGTAGCATGTTCATGCCTCAAAGATGAAGATTAAATGCTTGAAAGCAAATATTTAATCAATTTTAAGCATGCTTCCAAGTGAAGAAAATGCCTGGTTTAGTATCTTCATTCTTAACTCATTTACTACTCTATTTTTCCCTCAGAATAAGAACTCTCCAAATCTACTGCATCACAAAACATTCCCAAAGTCTTAAGAAAATATGCAGCAAGAGTATTTGTATAATTAACAATTAGTTGAACTGTAACATCACTTCCCAACTTGCTTTATGTAAGAATGTTAATACAGTTGGGTTTTCAATGCCATAATCTAGTTTCATCTAAATAAAACAAAACTGATTCTTGGCACGTGGAAAATAAACCAGCTTTCAATCTACACAAATGCTTTTGAACTCCCAGTCAGCTGTTCATGCACATCTCACTACAACACTGAAGTCCCCTTTGAACATTCCCAAATGAAAACAAAGCAGACTATATAAACAACGGAGTGTAATGATACACAATGTGAATCCTTCAGTAAGGCAAGGAGTGAAAAATTCTCGTGTTTCTTTTTTTCCTCTCCTCTTTTATACACTGGAATTGGGTTTTCTTTGCCAGAAGGGTGTGGCAACCCATTTCAAAAGGTCTGAGAGGCAGCAATTAGTAAAATACCTGAAGAGTCACTGGTGTTTTACTAATTGCTGGTGATGAACTTGTTATCATGAGCTGAAATAAGACAGACCACACTGTGGTTACTCTAGTGCTGATACTTGCTGTGATGGACTCACAGTCCAATTGAATAGTTCATATAAATTAAAAAAAAAAACAAAAAAAACTTGCCTACTTGCTAGACTATCACAGCATTAGCTGAAGTCTCACACAAGTAGGGCTCTGTAGTGGGAACATACTTCCTGGACTAATCCTGCTTTGAAGACATACTCTCTTAAAATCTGCACCAGGACAAGATAAACTGAAATTCTTGGCCAAGTCCTAAAAAAACACCAAACAAAGCTCCAACTGAGCTTAGTTCTGCCACTTAGAACAAGCAGCTAGCCCTGGCAGGATCCAAGCTCAACCTGTGTCCTGGATACTTTTAACATAATTGGTCTATGAAAGCCTTGTGGTAGCAGCAGCAGCTATATGATCAAGTTAGAAATCTCCCTGGTTTTGTTCATTTCTTTACCATCACAAAAAAATGGAGCTACAAAATTTGCTCTTAGTAAATGACAAGACAGTATCTTCAACTGAGGCCTACCAAACTCAACACTGGAGCTGCAGCAGACAGCACTGACACCGAGCTGTGGGATCACTCCTCTCTGCCACTTCTGAAGCAGGATATCTGCCGGAGTTTTCAGAACCTTAGGCTCAAGCAGACCCGGGTCCATAGTGCTTATTGGTAAGTAATGGCATTAAAAGATGTGCCTTGAAATCAGACAAAAGACAGCATTTTACTCCACTGTCCACCAACTTGTGTCACTTGAGCCCACTCCAGCTTCTGCATCTGCAAAGCAGCACACACACAACAAAACAAACACACTACAGCACTGTGGAGATTCCCTGAGAGCTGTGTCCAGAAGACAGGAACTCCAGGGTTTTAACAAAGGAACATTTTTCAGACCTAGGGATTACAGTCAGCACACTGGACCCCCATGCCTTTGTGTAAGATAAAATGCCAGAGCTTGCAGGGGCATCTCTCTCTACCATCACCTACAATAAATGTTTATTTGTACCTGTCAAAGAAGGAATTTCTAACATAAATATCTCTCAAGCAACAACTTTAAGCACTGAGAAAACAATTCTAACGTGTCTAATTAATCTGAACTGCCTCCCCAGGTTCCCCTGTTTTGCTCAATACAAATATTTAAGACCTTGAGACACAGTGAAGCTTTTGTCATGATAAAGAAGTTAAAAAGCTTAACTGCCAGAACACATTCTCACATACATCTGACAATTACCTTCCCTGTCAGCCTGCATCTTGCTCTGAATGACTGCTGCTATTCTGGTTCTCATCCCCAAACAAGTCAGTGTAAACTGAGCTCCAGAAACCCCAAACAAAGCACAGGCATACACCGAGGTGTGTTAAATATCAATTAATAATAATAATAATAATAATAATAATAGTAGTAGTAATAATAACCCCCCTTGGTAAAAGAGGGGGAAGGAATGAAAAACAAAGAATACCAGCATAATCAGTTATCCTAAGTTCATTTCCAGCAATATGCGAGCTCACAGGATAAGAAAATAAATTTCCTTCAGGCTGAGAAGAAATGAAAAAAACTGCAGCTAAAGTATCTAAAGCAGAAAGAGAAGCAGAAAATAAACTGTAATGATTTTTAACAGGAAAATGATACTTGGGTTTGATCATTAATACTGCCTGCAACTTTATCTGATTTGAGTTGCAGCAAGATCTTGACTCTAAGAAAGGCTCCTACATAAGCCTGATCCCAAACAGCCAAAATACCACAAATATGCAAACTGAGAATCCAACCTGCACCGCTATTCTCTTGAATTTCTGAAGTGAATTCTCACAGCAACTCTCTCTGGGAAGCATTTTCAAGCTTGCAGAATGTGTGAGCTGCACAACAGAAATCCATTCTACTGCAGTATAATTCTGCACAATCATTTATTCCTTAGGGTGAGAAGTTATTCAACACCCATTTGCATTCTCTCTCTGATTGAGAAATTACATCAACTGAACTAAAGTGCCCTGGCTTACTTGAAGTGACACCATACTGTGGGTATCAACAGCGGCACAGGGGATTTACTCAGATCACAAACTCACA